ACCTTTACAGCTTTGTGAGCTATGGATGTGAGATTATTGTTGAAAGAAAATGGTGCATTATTGGATGAATTGAAAATAAAACCGATGTTTTTATATCGGATAATAGAGAAAACAAAATGAAAGATGAAAAAAAATGAGACTAAAGACTTTGAAGTCAACTCTGATGGGTGTCTATTTTATCGAGGAAGAATTTGTTTCCCTCATAATGATGAATTGAAGAAAGATATTCTTTCTCGTGTATATTATTGTTCACTGACTATGCATATAAGTGGGAACAAAATATATCAGGATGTAAAGAGTCATTTTGGTGGCCAGGTTTGAAAAGAAACATTACTGAGTTGTTGCTACATATTTGACATGTCAACAAATAAAAACAGAGCATAAAGTGCTTTCGGAATTGTTACAACTGATTTCTATTCCAGAGTGGAAATAGTAATGAGTCACTATGGATTTTGTTAGAAGACTACCTCTGACATTAAATAAAAAGGATAGTGACTGGTTTATTAAATCGACACATTTAATTATTATGTGAATGGACTATGCATTGGATAAATATACAGAGTTGTATATCAAGGAGATAGTTTGACTACATGGAATTTCAATATCCATTATATCCGACAGGGATCCAAAGTTTATTCTTAAAGATTTTGGAAATAATTGCATAAAGTATTTGGTACTTGATTAAATTTCAGTACGATCTTTCATCCATAGACGGATGGTAAGTCAAAAAGTACTATTCAAATATTAGAAGATATGCTGAGTGCGTGTGTGATTGATTCCAAGGAATCATGGGAAAAAGAAAGTATTTGCTTTTAGTAGAATTTTCCTACAATAATAGTTATTAATTGAGTATCAAGATGGCTCAGTATGGAACTTGATATGGGAGAAATACCGAACACCATTAAATGGGTTCAAATTAAAAGATTGAAATCTTGTTGGCACAGATTTATTGAAAGAAATTGAGTATAAAGTGCATATAATTCGAGATAATCTCAAGATGATATGTAATTGGCAAAAGTATTATGCAGACTTGAAGTGATAAGAGATTGAATTTTATGAAGGTGATAAAGTAGTTCTCAAGGTATCATTTTGGAAAAAAATATTGTGCGCTCAAAAAGGCAAAGAAGAACTAAGCCTAAGATTCATTGGATCTTATGAGATAAAAAAAATTAGACTGATGGATTATCAATTAGCATTTATTATGGAGGTAATTGAGAACCAGAGTTGGACAAAGTACACAATATTTTTTCATGTGTCGATGCTTTGAAAGTATCGATCAGAGCTTTCACATGTCATTGCATCAGAGGAAATTAAAATCTGACCAGATTTGATTTTAAAGAAGAACCAGTTTGGATATTAACTCGAGAAATCAAGGAACTACGTAACAAAATGATTTCTCTAGTTAAAGTGATTCAGAAAAATCATAATATAGAGGACGTTACTTGGGATAGAGAGAATGATATGAAAATGTGTAGATATTTTTAAATCAGATTGAAGAATTTGATTAAACAAGTTCAAAATATAATGATGTGCATGATCTTTACAAAATTCTCAAAGTAAAGAGGAAAAATCAGAATTCAAGAAGTTGATAGAAGAGGTTTTTGCATAAGGCGAGATTATGTCTTACCAGTTCGTACAACCCTAAATTAGGGTTATGAATCTACAATGGAAAGTGCAATCCTCATAAAAGAGGAGTTAGTGTTTTCATAGAAAGTTTTAAAATTCAAGGACGAATTTTCTTAAGGAGGGGAGAATTGTAATACCCCAAAAATTTAGACAATGACCAAAATGAAAATTTGGAAAGTTTGATGGTCAAAGTAGAAAATTTGGGAAAACGTTTAGGGAATTAAGTGATAATTTCCTAAAAAGAATTTTATTCCATAAATATATGGTTTACTCTTGAGATTGGAGTTTTATGAAAATCATATTGTTGGATTTGGAATTTAGTAAAGAAAGAGTTAAAGTCGATAAGGAATCGGTAAATTCCGATCGAATTGGAATTTTACAAAAATTTGAAGGATGTTATAAAATGGTTAGAAATATTATTGTAATATTTTATATCAGAGAAAGTTGGTTTGGAAATGTGCAATTTTTCAGATTTAACCGAAACAGTGGAATTTAGTGACTAAATCGCAAGATTTGAAAATTCAGGGGAAATTTCGGATATAAAACTCAAAATAATTTACATTTGACTTTGTAATAGGTTAATAATCAGATGGTTTGATGTTATGGTGAATAAGAATATTGATTAAGGGTGATTTGGTATTTTCTCAAGTGAATGAATATTTTATTTTATTATAGTGGAATATAATTCAAACAAAGATGAAATGCACTCAAAATTTCATTTAAATTTGCTATCTTCTTCTCTAGCCAACGTGGGCTTCTTCAAAGGTAATAACAAAGCTTCAATTCTATTTTCAAGTCATTTTTTAGGATTATGAGTATGATGAAAATAGAAAATGATTATTTGCAGAAAACGCTATCATTTGGTGCCAATATTGCATGATAATCTTTTTTGATTCAAATATCCCCAAATCTGGAAATTTGGGTTTATACAATGGTTTTTGAAATTGATGATGATTATTGATGATTTTGAGGTTGTATGAATTGATGAAGAACATAAGGATGAGGTTAAAGAAAAACAGTTTAGATTTTGAGAATTACAGTAGGTTCAAAAATTCACCAGAAAATATATAAAAAATAATTTTGAGGTTATTTTTATATATTGTGTTCATATATGGATTTAGTTTCGTTTAAAATAAACGGGGATCAATTTCAAGTTGTATACAAATAGATATGAATTTTTAACTGAGGAAAGGTCAGAAAAGTCGGACAACAAAATTCTGTACAAAACAGATTCTGTTGGTGAACTTTGAAAATTCATCATAAATTGTACAAAATGAATTAGAAAGATTTATTTATATGTATAAATTCGTATTCGAGTATAGTTTTTAACGGAAGAAACAGAATTGAATTCCAGTGTCTATATCAATACAGAATAATGATTCTTTAAGGGTAGTGCGAGTTGTCTGAATTCTGGAAAATTGATGGGTTGTTGTGTAAGTGTTATATAATTGATGTACTATGCTGGAAATTGTTGTTAGGGAATTGAAATGAGTGTTAGTTGTGAAATAATTTCAATGTTGGAATTATTGGTATTAAAGAATTTAAGTGGTAAAATGGTGAAGGACCATTTTGTGTAAATTGGACAAGTTGGTTCCAATGTTAAAAGGAATAATAAGTATTATGGACTTATTTTGGGATATGTTTATGTTAGTAAAATACTAACATATGTATCGTTATGAAATTGTAAATTATACAGATTATGATTGATTTGCAATTGAAGCAAGTCAAGTACAAAAAGGGTATATTGTGGACAATAGTGAGGCTCGTATATTTTGAAAGACATAAAGTGTCAAGGTGAGTGCAATACATGCATGAAATTATACATGGATGTTTTATACATCATAAGGAAGACTTGCGATAAGTCGACCTTATTTATATCGGCATGATTTTATATCATTTTTTATAAATTGACATTGATATGTTAGAGTATGTAATTAAAATGCATTGATCACTGATTTTTGCATATGATTTTACCATGAATGTTATTTCGGGTATGAACTGCCCCATTGTTAAATATTGATAATATACTTTGACATGGATGAATCAAATAAAATAGATTGTATGCCCAAGTCACTTATTGAGGGACAGGGTATAGTTGGCATGCCATAGAGTCCAGCAGCAGGCTGCATATTCGGGAATACACTAAAGGATACCTAGTGTATATGGTGGGCACGACCTTATGTGTCATATTCGGGATTGTACTTAAGGATACCTAGTACATATGGTGGACACGACCTTATGTGTCATATTCGGGATAGCACTACGGTGCTTATATTTGACTCGTGTACCCAGGGTCCTCAGGGTTGTATATTGGGCTATTGTCTATGGTATATGGTTTATTGCTTAATAAATGGTAAGTATACAAATAAGCTTACGAGCTTTATAATTAATGGCAAGTATATGGGTAAAATAAGCTTACGAGCTTATGGAATTTAAATGGTAAGTATTTTGGTAAAATAAGCTTATGAGCTTATGGGATAAATGGTAAGGGATTTTATATTATTTTGATCATGGTAAAATGATTTTATGGAAACTCAAATTTTGACATTGAAAATCATGCATGAATTGTATTGCACCGTTAAATGTTTTAATTACCTCACTAAGTTTATACTTAGCGTGTGATGATTTTCTCGCGTAGGTAAAAAGCAAAGAATAAGAATAAAGAGTTCAAAATGACATCAAGCATCGAGAGGTATATTTCAATATCAGTAAGACAACCTATTGTGAAATTTGATTTTAGATAGTGGCATGTAATTTATTTGCTTAATTTAATTGTTGAGTAAATTTTTGGGAATTTTTATAGTGATGAAAGGTTAATTGTTATGAGTTTTATATGTAATTTTCGGAAATTACTGTAGCATGAACAGTAACCACATTTTAAGCCAAATTTCTAGAATGTTAAAGGTGTACCGATTCCCCTGCTACAGGGAATCGATTCCCCCACTGTTCACTGTTCATTATTCGAGTACTATTCATTATTCATTATTAAAAAATATTTTGAATTAAATTGGTTACTCTGAAACGTAATTTTTATGATATGATAATTTTATAATATCATTTACTATTTTAAGAATATAAATTTTAAATTTCTTTCGAATCGTAAAATGGTTTTAGAAAATACGGGTGACATCTATAATCTGTATATGTATAACTATATGGGTTATGGGTGTTACAGTAAGCTTTTAGATGTTAACCATTGACTTAAAGATCGTTCTATCATCTACATTTTTTATATCAACTGCTCCATGGGGATAAACATGATGCACATCAAATTGTCCTGAACATCTAGATTTGAGTTTTTTAGGGAAAAACTTAAGTTTGGAATTGTAAAGTAACACTTGTTGGCCAACATGAAAATGTCATAGCATCAGCTTTTAGTTGTGCCACTTTTTAGTCTTTTCCTTGTATATCATGGCCTTCTCATATGCTTGTGCTCTAAACTCTTCCATGTCATTGAGTTCCAGCAATCTTTGCTCCTCATCTAAATGAGCATCAAAATTTAACCTCTTAATGGCGCAATACACTTTATGTTCTAACTTGAAAGAGAGGTAACAGGCCTTCCCATACACCAAATTAAAGGGTGATATGCCTAGAGGAGGCTTGCAAGTTGTTCTATATGCCCAGAGTGCCTCATCTAACTTCGGTGACCAATTCTTCTGCCTTAGGTTCACTACTTTCTCTAAGATCTGCTTAATCTCGCGATTAGATAATTCATCTTGGTTATTCTTCTGTGGATGATATGTCATGGCAATCTTGTGACGGTCTTCATGTATCTTCAATGCCTTGGCAATTAACTTTTTCTCAAAGTGGGTTCCCTCATCACTAATGATGGCTCGAGGTACTCCAAACTGAGTGAAAATATGTTTATGTAAAAACTTAAGAATGATTTTGGAATCATTCTTTGATGTTACACTTGCCTCTACCCACTTGGACACATTTTATACATCAAGCAAGATGTAAAGATCACCACCAAAAGATGAGAATGGTCCCATAAAATCAATGCCCCAAACGTCAAACAACTCAATTTCCAAAATGTATTGCAATAATATTTCATGTCACCTAGATATGTTCCCAGTGTGTTTCCATTGATCGTATGACCTGTAAAACACCTGATCATCTTTGAACAAAGTTGGCTAATAAAAGTCTGACTACAGAACCTTGGCAGTGGTTATTGCTCTTCTAAAATGGCCTCCACTTGGACAATGGTATAGAATGTCTCGTTACTCCTCTTCAGGTACACATCATCTAATGTGCTGGTCAAAACAATGCTTGAATAAATATGGATCATCTCAAAAGTAGAGCATGGCATCCTGCTTGAATTTCTTCTTGCCCTAGCTATTCAAACAAAAGACAATAACCATTAAAAACAAAATTAACAAGGTCAGTGTACCATGAAATTTCTGTGGCATATAAAAATTTCTCATTAGGGAATTCCTCTTGAATATCTACAATGTCATGACATTCAAAATTGTTCTCTAGCATAGATAAATGATTAGCAACTTGGTTATCAATACATTTTCTATCTACAACCTCTAAGTAGAATTATTACAAAAGTAAGATCCACCTAATAAGTCTGGGCTTGGAATCCTTTTTGTTCATTAAATATTTTATAGTTTAGTGATCAGTGTGAACAATAACTTTACTGCCTATTAGGTATGATATAAATTTATCAAAAGCAAATACCTCGATAGGTAATTCTTTTTCGGTGGTTATGTAATTCATTTGTGCCTTATTCAAGGTACGTCTAGCATAATATATGACATGAAACATTTTACCTTGGTGTTTCCCCAAAACAGTTCATATGGCATAGTCGCTTGCATCACACATCAACTAAAATGTTGATGTCCAGTCGGGAGGAACTACAATGGGTGCTAAGATCAATTGTTTCTTTAGTTCAGTGAATGCACATAGGTATAATTCATCGAACTCAAAGGGCTGGTGATAGGGAAGCGGTGGCGGGTTAATGAACGTTGCTCTTGTTGAAGAATCAAACCTAGAAAGCTCTAGACTCGATTAAGAACAAAGGGGATGAATAGGGGAAGGTGGCAGCAGTAACTAGGATTCTTTAGGGTTTCTTCAAGGCAATAAGATTAGAACAAAATAAACAAAAGATAAAGAAATTGGAAATAAAATAAGATAAGATAATAAAGAAATCAAAAGATCTCCCTTACGAAGGTGGATGGTAAAGATGATTGATGGTGCAGATGGATTTGTGGAAAAATAGATGGATAAGTGTCCTATCGAACCCTCCTAGTCGCAATGAAAAGGCAAACTCGATAAATGGCTCTAACCAACCCTCCTAGTCGCGATGAAAAGGCAAATTGGAGTGTGAAGATTAATCTCCTTCACAAGAACTTGAAAGAACTCCAGGAGAAGAAGCTTCAATGGCACAAGGCAATCAGCACTTGCAAAAACGAACTCTCGTTGTATTATTAATCAAAGAAATATGATTTACAAAGTTGAATGAAGCCTCCTTTATATAGGGGCTGAATTCTAAAGGTCCTAAATAACTAAAGAATAAAATATTAATAAACTAAACATGTTTTAACTCTAATTCCTAATAAAATAATAATAACTAAAAATATTGTTTTAACCCAACCTTAATTCCTAATAAAATAATAATTCTGATCCTAAAAGATAATTAATCATCCTATATTAAATTATATTACAAATAATCAATATAAATATTGAAAATTCGTAATATTTACAAAATAACATATTAATCCCGTATAGGATTTCCTGCATGCACCGTCTTTAGTAAAATGGTCATATCTTGAGTTCCCGATATCGGATTGATGCGATTCAAGAACCGTTGGAAAGATAAGAGATAGAAGGTTGTATCTTCAGAAGACATGTCTACCGGATAACAACTGGATCCCCTTCAAAAAGTTGTTGTAAATCTGCTGCTATTAGACCCTTATGGATGAATGCTTGAACTGCAATTTGAAGCTTGTCTTTAAGAAGTTTTGTCCGGCCTCGTGTGATAGGGCCAAGTGGTATAGTAAATTAATCATCCTTAGCTTTAGGGCGTGTGGTGCATGTATCATCTCCCCCTTCCTTAAAAGGATTCATCCACGAATCTGAAATATAAAAAGGAGATAAGTTAGAAACATTAAAGGATGCACTCACGTTATACTCACCGGGAAGATCAATGCGGTAGGCATTGTCATTGATTCATTCAAGGAATTAAAATGGGCCATCGCCTCGTGGGTCTAGCTTGGATTTCCTTTGTGTCGGGAACCTTTCTTTTCTCATGTGAACCCATACCCAATCTCCTGGTTCAAAGGTGACATGTCGTCGGCCCTTGTTAACTCGGTTTGCGATTGCCTCGTAGGTTTTCTCCATCTTGAGTTTGGCTTTGGCGTGAATGTCTTTGACAAAGGCAGCATTCTTTTCACCATCTAAACTGACAACCTGATCTAAAGGTAAGGGAATAATATCCAAAGTAGTTAATGGGTTAAAACCATAAACTATTTCGAATGGAGAATAACCTGTTGTGGAGTGAATGGATCGATTATAAGCAAACTCAACAAAAGGTAAACATTCTTCCCAATTACAGGTATTCTTACCTACCACAGTTCTTATCAAATATCCTAGAATTCGATTTATTACTTCGGTTTGTCCATCGATTTGAGGATGACAATAAGTGGAATAGAGAATTTTTGTGCCAATCTTACCCCACAATACCTTCCAAAAGTGGCTTATAAACTTAGTGTCACGATCGGACACAATGGTGTGAGGAATGCCATGAAGGAGGATTATTTCTCGAAAGAATAAATCAGCAATATGTGTGGCATCGTCCTTTTTATGGCAATGAATGAAGTGTGCCATCTTTGAGAATCTGTCCACAACCACAAAAATACTATCTCATCCTTTCTTAGTGCGGGGTAAGCCAAGTATAAAAACCATCGATAAATCGATCCAAGGAGAAGAAGAAATTGGTAAAGGCGTGTACAAACCATTAGGATTTACCTTTGACTTTTCTTGTTTGCACGTGATGCATGATGCACAAATCTTTTCCACTGTTTTACGCATATACGGCCAAAAGAAGTGTTCCATGACCATATCAAGTGTTTTGTGAATACTGAAGTGTCCCATAAGTCCTCCAGCATTTGACTCGTGAACCAAGAACTCTCGTAAAGAGCCTTGTGGTATACACAACCTGTTCATGCGAAAAAAACCCATCTACAAGATAAAACTTGTTAAAAGCACCTTTTACACATTGTTTATAAATCTCAGAAAAATATGGATCGTTAGGATAAAGTTCTTTGATATGTGCAAAACCCAGAACAGTAGCATGCATTCGAGTGATAAGTGTGTATCATCGAGATAATGCATCAGCTACAATGTTATCTTTCTCTTGTTTGTATTTGATGATGTAAGGAAAAGATTCAATGAACTCAAACCATCGAGCATGTCATTTGTTTAACTTACCTTGTCCATTTAACCATTTGAGTGATTCATGGTCTGTGTGAATGACAAACTCTTTAGGGAGAAGATAATGTTGCCACACTTTGAGTGCTCTGACGAGTGCAAGAAGTTCCTTGTCGTAGGTAGAGTAGTTCAATTGTGCACCTTTTAACTTTTCACTAAAGTAAGTGATAGGTTGTCTTTCTTGCATGAGGACGGCACCAATACCTATGCCTGAAGCATCACATTCTAGCTCAAAGGTGTTAGAAAAATTGGGAAGACGAAGAATAGAGGCAGAACACAACTTATCTTTAAGAAGTTTAAAAGCTTTTTGTTGTAGTGGTCCCCATTTGAATTCAACTGACTTTTTGATGATCTCGGTTAATGGTGCAAAAATGGTTGAGAAATCTTTGACAAAGTGACGGTAGAAACTTGCCAAACCATGAAAAGATCTTACGTCGGTGATGGAAGTAGGCGTGGGCCATTCTTGAATTGCGTTGACCTTCTCTTTATCTACATGAATACCCTGTACACTAACTATAAAGCCTAAAAACATAAGCTTATCACTGCAAAACACACACTTATCCATGTTAGCATATAAATGTTCTCATCGAAGAACTTCGAGAACTATTCGAACATGAATGACATGAGAATTAAGAGAAGATGAGTATATAAGAATGTCATCAAAGCAAACGACAACAAATTTACCTATAAACTCCTTAAGAACGTGATTCATTAATCTCATGAAGGTGCTTGGAGCGTTTGTGAGTCCAAAGGCCATAACAAGCCATTCATACAAGCCGAACTTTGTCTTGAATGTTGTTTTCCATTCGTCTCCTTCTTTCATTCGAATTTGATGGTAACCACTCTTCAAGTCAATTTTGGTGAAGATACTTGCACCATGTAGTTCATCCAACATATCATCTAGGCGTGGAATAGGATGCCTATACTTGATTTTTATCCGATTGATAGGTCGACAATCACACACATTCGGAATGTGCCATCTTTTTTTGGAACTAGAATGACGGGAACTGCACAAGGACTAAGACTCTCACTGATGTGTCCTTTTTGTAATAATGAATCTATTTATCGTTCCAATTCCTTCGTTTCCTCAGGATTGCATCGGTAAGCGGGGCGGTTTGGTATGGTTGATCCAGGGATAAAGTCGATTTGATGTTCGATTCCTCTTGTAGGTGGTAAACCATCCGGTGGGTTGCTTAAGACATCTTGAAACTCTTGTAATAGAGAAGAAAACACACTAGGCAAATCTGTGATGTTAGTGATAGTTGATAAAATGGAGTCCTTGAAACGGACTAGAATGCACGGCCTATTTTGA